GAATTATTGATTCAAAAATGTGGAACCAGGCAGGGCATGCTGGCTCACGTCTGTAATCCCAACACTTTGGGAGGACAGGCAGGCGGATCACCAGAGGTCAGGGGTTTAAGATCAGCCTGGCCAACATGGTAGAACCCCATCTCTATTAAAAATACAAAAAATCAGTCGGGTGTGGTGGCACACGCCTGTAATCCCAGTTACTTGGGAGTCTGAGGCAGGAGAATCACTTGAGCACAGAAGGTGGAGGTTGCAGTGAACTGAGATTGTGCCATAGTACTCCAGCCCTGGGCGAGAGTGTGAGGGAGACACCGTCTCAAAAAAAAAAAAAAAAAGAATGTGGAACCAGAATGGATCTTTAACTTTATCCTCCAGAAGGCCATTCAATATCTGTCTAATTAAAACAAAGGTCAGTAGCACAGTATTTACCCTAAACTCATTTGAACCATAGTGAGATTTATTCTTGCCCTTCAACATAGCCTTACCTTTTCAACTCAGGGCTGTAAAAGTTGACATATTTATTTTGAGAATATGTTATAGACTCACAGCCATGTCAGATCTTTGATTTCACTGAGTAGTAAATCAATTACATTTCGCAATGCTTTCTTGTCTAAGACATTCAAATTGAATTCTGGAAACAGTAATTTCTGTTCTGGTATCATATTTTTCAATAATTTTTTACCAGCCAACCCTTCTGTTTTTAGCAATCCTATTTACTTCATACAGTTCTACTTCATACAGTCATTAACAAACATAAGGCTGGGCATGGGGACTCACGCCTGTAATCCCAGCACTTGTGGAGGCCAAGGCAGGTGGATCACCTGAGGTCGGGAGTTCGAGACCAGCCAGACCAACATGGAGAAACCCGTCTCTACCAAAAAATACAAAGTTATCAGGGTGTGGTGGCACATGCCTATAATTCCAGCTACTTGGGAGGCTGAGGCAGGAGAATCGCTTGAACCTGGGAGGCGGAGGTTACAGTGAACCGAGATCATACCATTGCACTCCAGTCTAGGCAACAAGAGCGAAACGCTGTCTCAAATAATAAATAAATAAATAATAAAACAAGCATGAATTGCACAGATCCAATGTTCTCTGTGGCAGAAATGAAAAATGCTGGGATTTGTGGCAAGGTGTCCAGCCACCATAAAATTTCTTTGCAGCTGCCCAGGAAGAACACCAAATTCCACTAACATCCTAGCATGCAGACAGTGTCTTTCAAAATATTCACAATTTTTAAAAAAGTGACAATGCTGATGAGAGTGTATGGAAATTGCCACATGTACTTGGCAGGTGAGGCTCTAAACTGGTAGTGTGGAGGGTAACTTGACAATGTTAATCAAAAATGGATACTTATCACTAGGAAATTATCCTAAGGTAATTATTACAAAGATATAGCTATAAGGATGTTTCTTATAGCATTAATTTTAATGATGAAATTTGAGAACATTTTCAAATCCAACAATAAAGGGTTAATTAAATGAAAAATGATACATCCATTCAACAGATTTTCAAGGAAAAGTTACTCAGTCATTTCCATGTAGAACTTTCCACGTAGAAAGGACCAGCTTCCTCATCTGGTCTTGTTGGGACACCCCATTGAGTCACACCTTCCTATTTCCTGAGAAGATACCTACCCTTCCCGTTTATCTGATAGGCTGTAGCTGTGAGAAACTGGTTTATTACCAAAGGATTATAGAGATGAAGATATTCTCAATATGTTATGCAGATTACAGATGTATTTTAATATGCTAGGATGAGATGCACTAAATTGTGGGTTGTGGTTATCCTGGAGGATAGAATTAAAGAGGGTCTTTACATTTCCCAAATTGTTTGAATATTTTACAACGTTTTATCAAGGGAAAAATCTATTTTGAAATTTGGTAAAAGGGAATCATTATCTTGCTGGCCCGTTGTACAAATACCTTGAAGCTACAGTGACAGTCAATAAATTAAGCATGGTAAACATTAATTAAGATCTGTGTTATTAATAAAGCAGCAGCAAAATAATAAAGCAGGTACAAACTAACATCTAGAATCACCCTGTATTTTCCAAGGAGCTTTGCCTCAGAGGCCCATCTATTATGGATTATGTCACAAATGCTTACTGCCATACAAAGCAACTTTGACTTAATATATTGAAGAAAGGCTTAATGTTTTAAAATACACAATTATCTTTCTTTTGTTTGTTGGGTGCACATGTTGGCAAACAACTGTTTCGACATGAAAATTCCCATTTCTGGGTAGGAGCTGAGAGGAGTGAAAAAAAAAAGAAAATTTTTATTTCTGCAATTTGCAGCATGTTATCATCACATGGAGAAAAACTGAGTACCAGAGGCCCAGAAGAATCCTTCTCATTTGTTCCCCTAGCCAGTGGTTTTAATAGCACAGTAGGTGTATTACTAACACAGGGTTTGCATAATGACTATTCAGAGCTTACTCTCACTCAGTCACCACTGCCTGCAATTGGGAAAAAGTACATAGCATGCTAAGTGGGTCTGTAATTTAAGAAAGAAGAAAGATTGCTCTTTTGAAAAATAGACTTGACTATACTTTGGATCCAATCAAGCTATTACATTATTTCCTGTAGCTGAAATGCATAAACAAACTATCGAGAATTGGCACCGACCATTTGAAATGGTTCTCAAACAATTTTTGGGAGCAGAGACTATGAGCTGACTCAGGGGGTGTAGTAACCTTAAGCTTGTTTATCACATGCACAGTGTGAGGGCATTACCAAGCCCATGTGAAAGATGGCCTGGAGTCTACATTATTCAAGAAGTTGACCTTGGCCTGTTTAAGTGTGGAAATTTCACTTCTAAAATGTCCAAGGGAAATAGGCTTTAAAAGCACTCACAAGAATGATGTGCTGATTTCTGCCAATAATGCTACTACAATTTAAAATTTTATCTTTGTGCTTTACAGTTACCATAGCAGTGAAAGATTCGTAGCCAACAGAATTGTTTCAGTTTCAATGACTGATTAAATTAGCAGTTTTGCTCATTTGAAGCCATGCCAATTATATTTATTATCTACAATAGTGCTGCAGTCTATTATGCCATTAAAGCTTTCTGCGGATGATAACTAAAATGGCAGAATGTCTGCAAATAAAAACCAAGATTCTACTACTTGACTGCAAATGCAAAGTGGGAAAAGAGGGAAAAATAATCTCAGGCTTTAGCTTGGATCACTTCTGGTGACTTTTGGGAAAATATATCGAGACAGATATTCTTTGGAACTACACACTGAATTCTCATTCTCTACCCTAATTGCCACCACCCAGGGTAAACCTCTGCTCTAGGGCCTCAAATTTTTTCAAGAGCCTCAGCTCTGGGTTGCAATTATTAGATACGACTGAAGGGATGGGAGTCTCCATGTGGGGGTTGCAACGTGTTGGAAGGAGAAATGCCCAGGTTCTGGGCATTTCGGTGCTCTTTTTACCTGCTCCTTACTCCAGCTGGGCTCCAGCACAGCCCTGAACTTAGCAACCTGCTTCCTGCTGGCTCTGAACTGATTTTGCTGTTTTCTCGCCCCTCTGTGTCACTGGTACGGCTAGGGCAATGTGGGAACCAGAACAGGGCACGTCCTGAAAGTTCTCTCCCAATCCATCCGCTTCCTGATGGAGGCTATTTCCCCGGGGACGCCTACCCCCAATCCCAAACAGGGACCTAGACACCTTCTGTTTCTCCAGGACTTTCCTCCCAGTTGTATTTCACTTTGGGATCCATTGGCCTCCCTCTCTTACTTTTGTGGCAACTCCAAGGTAAGGTTTCAGGAAATAATTCAGCTGCCATGGCTGGGAGGCATCTTTCCAGGAACAGGCAGGTCACCAGTGGCTGTCAAAGGGCCACTAGAACTTCTAGCAGGTACAGTAAACAGTTTAGGTGACCCACAGGCCAATTTTCTTTAGCGTAATGGTTTTTCCTTTTTTCTTTTACATTAAAGGTCGTTTTAAAATGTTATACTGAATCCCAATACATAATATAGATATATCAGAGCTGCTGTGGTTGAAGCAGGAGTGGAGGCCCGGGGTTCTGCCTCCTCAGCAGCCCTGCCCCCACAGGGATCCCATAGGAACCTGTGGGTAAACCTAGAACTGTAGAGAACAAAGAGAGAACACAGTCCAAGGAACTAAAAGTCCAAACATTTAGAGTGTGGCAATGTCTATACTTTCATCTATTTTATATTTTTCTCATTATTCATGATGTGGATAAAATACCTTATTTCTTCTCTTACTAGATGTATCACTTGTTTTTTGTCTTTTGTTTGTTTGTTTGTTTCTACTGGTAAGAAAGAATAAGATGAACCGATAGTCCCCAGGCTTTTTTGACCTTTTGATGTTTTCTATCCATGGGGAAAAAAGTCTCAAACACCTATTCATCTTAGGCAAATCTCAATCCCAGGCACCATCCTAGGGTTTTAGGGGTTTAGACCCTTTAAATGACTTTAAGAGAGCAAACTACATTGTCTGTAACTCCTGGATGATGAAAAAAAAAACTATAAATGTCAGCATCGGACCTAGGGTCTGGTCTGTAAGAGGAAGATGAATGCTAGAGAAGTGAAAACTGCTCATTCATTCAGTCATCTACCCACCCATTCATTCAATAAAACCATCCCCCCATCCATTCTTCCTTCCATCCATTCAACAGATACTTCCTGGGCACGTATACAAGAGCTTCTCAAGAACCAGAGCATTGTCTCAGTCTTTCCTGTGTCCTCTACAGGTCTAGCACAATAAGCACAAAGTACATGCTCAGAAATTGTGGGGGTCAAAGACTTTGTTCTTGAACTCATGGCTCTAGGCTCTCAGAGTGGGCGGAATGACTCCTAAACTTTCTACTCCAATTGCCAAGATAAACGCGATAATCTTGGCAGAGCATCCTCATAGCTAACCTATATTTCTCAGCTGCAGCTTAAGCTTAATTCCATCTTTCTGGCCTTTGAATGGAAGAAACCCAGTCCGGACTGCGGAGTCCCTAAGAGAAAGAATGAACTTTACACTGTAAGACACAAGACTAATTACTTTATTAGGTGCATTCTGTAAGTTGAAGAGGAGAATTTTTGGCAAATAAATAAATAAATAAATAATCAGAGACTTTGGGGCCCGAGGAGCTCAGGAAAAGGGAAGCGGAGTCTTTGCATAGTTCTAAATGAACAGGAGGTGGCAGCAGTAGGCAACGCGGATTCTCGGCAGAAATGCAGCACTTGCAAAAACCAGGGACAGAAGGCTTTGAGAAAAAGGAGAAGGTCAGAAGGTGACTAACTATTTCTTTTTCGTAGAGACCATGGTGTGGAACATTCATCCTCTCTACCAGGGGCAGGATGCGGCGTCCTACATGATCTGCCTGGGCATCCCGTACCCTGTCATGCCAGCCTGGGAGGCTCCCTTGTTGCTGCCCATCTGCAGGCCTATTACGTTCTGTCCCTGGCGAAGCTGCTCCTCGGAAAAGCCTCTCCGATTCTGCTGAGCTTTCCTGGACAAGGAAAGTGAGAGGGAATAATATCATTATAACAGTTTTCCAATCCTTTTCAAGCTATGCAATTAGACAGTCTCTCCTGGGGGTCCCCAAATAGATCAGCAGGTCCTACCCTGAGCCGTGGTTATGAGCTATGGCCCTATCCTGAGCTATCTATGGCCCTACCCTGAGCTATCTATGGCCCTACTATGGCCCTATCCTGAGCTATCTATGGCCCTATCCTGAGCTATCTATGGCCCTACTCTGAGCTCTGAGCTATCTATGGCCCTATCCTGAGCTATCTATGGCCCTACTCTGAGCTATCTATGGCCCTACTCTGAGCTATCTATGGCCCTACCCTGAGCTATGGTCTTACCCTGCACTGTGGACCTACCTCAGCCGTGGACCTACTCTGAGCTATCTCCGGCCCTAGCCTGAGCTGTGGCCCACCAGAATGCATGAGCTTCCTATCTTTTAGAAGCCCAGGTGTTTTCCAGAATTCCAGCAAAGAGGAGGGCAGAATCTGTGGCTACCTCTCTGGGGAATTCACTCTCAGCTTTCCTTGTTTCTCTTTGTCCCCACTCTCCCTTCTTCCCCCACCACTTTAGGCCATCTCAGACTTCTAAGAAGAAGCCTGCTTCTTCTTACGCTTTCTCTCACAGCTACCTCAGGCCTTTGTGAAAATTAAAATTGGTTCTCTTACAAAGCACATCATTAATCCCACCCCCACATTCCCTGTATAGGGCCAAGATGAATATACCATTTTAGAGCCAAGGGGCCTAAGACTTAATGAGGGGAAATGTCTCACTCTAGATTAGAGGTCTGCAAACTTTGGTAAAGAGCCAGATAGTACACAGTTGTGGTTGTGTAGCCACATGGAACATGGTAGTTCACTAATAATACAGACACTAAAACCAGGGTTTCAAATGGCCAATATCTCAGAGGTTTTCAGGGCAAGCATTCTTTAAGATGACATAAGCTAGTAACTTTTTTAAAAAAAATAACTGTCAGGGAGAAGAAAAGGGGATCATGGAAATGAATAATCAATTATTTGCCACAGGGCACTCTTCTACAACTAAGTTATCCAGTTTAAGCTTCCTGCCTACCCTAC